ATACGGACCACAGAGACCCTGAAACAAACCCCCTGTGGGGTACAGACCACAGAGACCCTGAAACAAACCCCCGGGGGGTACGGACCACAGAGACCCTGAAACAAACCCCGGGGGGTACGGACCACAGAGACCCTGAAACAAACCCCGGGGGGTACGGACCACAGAGACTCTGAAACAAACCGCCTGTGGGGTACGGACCACAGAGACTCTGACACAAACCGCCGGGGGGCAGGGACCACAGAGACCCTGAAACAAACCCCAAGGGATACGGACCACAGAGACCCTGAAACAAACCGCCTGTGGGGTACAGACCACAGAGACCATGAAACAAACCGCCGGGGGGTACGAACCACAGAGACCCTGAAACAAACCCCCTGTGGGGTACAGACCACAGAGACTCTGACACAAACCCCCGGGGGGTATGGACCACAGAGACCCTGAAACAAACCGCCGGGGGGTACGGACCACAGAGACCCTGAAACAAACCCCCTGTGGGGTACGGACCACAGAGACCCTGAAACAAACCCCCGGGGGGTACGGACCACAGAGACTCTGAAACAAACCCCAGGGGGTACGGACCACAGAGACCCTGAAACAAACCCCCGGGGGGTACGGACCACAGAGACTCTGACACAAACCCCCGGGGGGTACAGACCACAGAGACCCTGAAACAAACCCTGGGGGGCAGGGACCACAGAGCGCCTGTGGCTGTGGTCCTTCTCCGCTGCTGCCGCCGGGCTATGAGTCAGGTGACCCCATGTGTGACAGCAGAACCGCCCGCAGGGCTTTCAGGGCTGTGATCTCAGGGAACCTGACCCCAGGCCTTTCTTCCTCTGGGCGGTTTAAGCCTCTATCCTTTTGGCAATGATGGACCACTTAACTGCTCGCCCCAATATAAACAGTACACGCCCCATCACGAGAGGACGTGAGGACAGGGCACGGAGCAGGCACGTGCAGGCATGACGGAAAGTGTATTTAACACTCCCCGAGGACATAGGGTGGAGCCTTCTTGTCAGTGGTGTGAAGGTAACCCGGAACTCAGGAGCGATCGAGGCTGACGACCTGAGACGACAGCTGGAAAGGTGAGTGGACGAGGTCACAGAGCACAGGTACAGAGACGTGGGACAGCCCCGGAGATAACCCTGGCGGGGCAGAGGGGCAATCCGCTAAAGCTCCACGGAACCGCCATCTGCCCGACTGAGAACTGCAGAGCACAGCGCCCGGGACAGCGAGTGGGGCCAAAGTCAGCGCGGGAAAGGCCGCGGGGACAGCACACAACAGGGAGCGGGAAAAGGGGTCGCTGCCCCGGGCCAGGAGCAGGCTAGAGGAGTCCAGGAGGTACAGGGGAAGCGCTCAGCTGCTAACCGCAAGCAGGGGTCTGAACCCACCAGCTGCTCCGCAGGGGGAGAGATGACACAGTCCACTCCGCAAAGAGGACAGGCACAGACACCCCACGGGGCCGTTCTGCTCTGTGACACGGGTGGCTGTGAGTCGGAACAGACTGCAGTGGGTGTGGTTTATGTTACACAGAGGAGCGCTCCTGCCCCAGCAGTTAAGGGCTCAGCTGCTAACTGAAAGGTCAGGTTTGAACTTACTAGCTGCTCTGCAGGAGAAAGACGAGGCAGTCAGCTTCCATAGAGATGGGAGCCTTGGAGACCCTGTGGGGCAGTTCCTCTCTGTCCTCTAGGGGCGCTGTGGGTCAGAATGGACTCCAGGGCAGTGGGTGTGGTTTGGACTTTGCTTCTGTGAAGATTGACAGCCTTGGGGACCCTGTGGTGCAGTTCCACTCTGTCCTGTAGGGGCGCTGTGGGTCAGAATGGACTCCACGGCAGTGGGTGTGGTTTGGGCTTTGCTTCTGTGAAGACTGACAGCCTTGGAGACCCTGTA